CCTGAATTATTGGTAACAGATGTCAGTTGTTTTCCTAGAGTTAATCAGATTCTTGTTTGAGTATATAGTCAACCAAAACTAAATGAAAAAACTAGTAAATGAAATCAAAGATTGTTTATAGTAAATGGGGAATGATGAATGGACTTTCAGTATGTGATATTAGTTTCTTCCTTAAGAAAATTAGTTTCTTCCTTAAGAGTTGGGCCAGACACAGTAGCTCACACCTGTAATCCCAGCACTTTGGGAGGCCAAGGCAGGAGGATTGCTTGAGCTCAGGAGTTCGAGACCAGCCTGGAAAACATAGCGAGACCCCGTCTCTATTTAAAAAAATTAAAAGAACTTAATATGATTATGTTTTCTTGATGGGAACCTGTTGTTTATTTTGAAATAGGGTCTGGCTCTGTTGCCCAGGCTGGAGTGCGTTGGAATGATCTCTGCTTGCTGCAGTCTCCACCTCCCAGACTCAAGCCATTCTCCCACCTCAGAAGCGGGCACTACAGGTGCACGACACGATGCCTGGCTAATTTTTGTAGAGAAAGGGCTTTGTCATATTGCCCAATCTAGTCTTAAACTCCTGAGCTCAAATGATCTGCCCGCCTTGGCCTCCTAAAGTGCTGGGATTATGGGTATGAGCTATCGCACCCAACCAGGAACCCATTATTTGTTGTTGTTTTTTCCTTAAGCTCATTTGACTTTTGTAATTTTTTTTTCTTTTAATTAGCGAATTTAAAAGAAAGAAATTAATGATTAATTAGATTAAAATCAAATAATCTTATTGTAACTAACTGCAGTGAAAATTAAGATAGTATCGATAAAATGCATTTTACTCAGTTTTTTTCAAATTACTTTTATTTGTCTCATGTTTTTTACAGTCATTTGTTGAAGAGATCCTGGAAGTAAAAATAAAAGATTTATCTCAGAATTCTCTGTTTCATATACCACTTAATCAAGGCCTGGTTTTGTTTTGTGATACCATAATGCTTTTAGTTGCATGACCACTTTGTGGCAGTGTTCCATAGTGAAAGCTGTAGCACTTGAGCTTTTTTAGTCTAGTGTTGATATAACAGCTTTTCTTACTCTTAAGTTTGTGACATTCCCTCTCTTTGATCTCCTATCCCCAGATATAGGATATATTTATTAGCTGTCTGAATCCCAGACCTACAGAGCTCAAAATGGCTATGGAAGGAGTGGTTGTGTTGGAAATAGTGGTCAATTTTCTCCTCCTGACCCTCTCCACACATTTTTTTCACTACGATCTTGGAGAAATGAGTTTTGCTGCTTTGGAACAGGGGTTGGCAAAAATACACTGCTTGCAGACCAAATCCCTCTTTGTGTGAGGCTCATGAGCTAAGAATGGTTTTTACATTTTTAAAGAGTTGGTTAGGCTGGGCGTGGTGGCTCACGCCTATAATTCCAGCGCTTTGGGAGGCCAAGGCCTGTGGATCACCTAAGGTTAGGAGTTCGAGACCAGCCTGACCCAACATGGATAAACCCCGTCTCTATTAAAAATACAAAATTAGCCAGGCGTGGTGGCGCATGCCTGTAATCCCAGCTACTTGGGAGGTGAGGCAGGAGAAGCACTTGAACCCGGGAGGCGGAGGTTGCAGTGAGCCGAGATCGTGCCATTGCACTCCAGCCTGGGCAACAAGAGTGAAACTCCGTCTCAATTAAAAAAAAAAAAAAGAGTTGGTTAGGTTGGGCACCGTGGTTCATACCTCTAATTCCATTGTTTTGGTAGGATGAAGTGGGAGGATTGCGTGAGGCCAGGATTTCTAGACCAGCCTAAGCAGCATATTGAGATTCCATCTCTTAAAAAAGTAAAAAATTGGCAGGAAATGGTGGTGGGAGCCCAAGTACTAACTGTCTGGGAGACTGAGGCAGGCGGATCTGCTGAGTGCAGGAGTTTGAGGTTATAGTGAGCCATGACTGCACCATAGCACTTTTAGCCTGGGCAGCAGAGTGAGACCCTGTCTCACACAAAAAAGAAGAGTTGGTTAAAGACAAAACAAAAGGATGAGCCTAAAATACTTATTATGTGGCTTTTTGCAGGTAATTTGACTACCCCTGTTCTAGAATTTTAAGAAATAAAAAGTAGACTTTGTGGAGAATGGGATGAGATTATATATACGTATATACACGTATACACACACACACACATTCACACACACGTGTGTGGGTATATATATAAAACACTCAAGTATATATGAAGGGTGTTTTGTGGAAAGCTTTGGGATGTTAGTCATACCATGAGAATGTTTAAGAATGTTTAAGAAATTTTAAGAAAGTAATTCCATTGATTTAGACATACAAAATAAATATATATATTTTAATTGAGACAGGGTCTCGCTCTATCACCCAGGCTTGAGTGCTATGGCACCATCTCGGCTCACTGCACCCTCCGCCTCCTGGGTTAAAGTGATCCTCCCACCTCAGTCTCCTAAGTAGCTGGGACCACAGGTGCATACCACCACACCCAGACATTTTTTTCTATTTTTACTAGAGACAGGATTTTGCCATGTTGCCTGGGCTGGTCTCCAACTTCTAAGCTCGTGCGATCCACCCACCTCAGCCTCCCAAAGTGCTGGGGTGACTGACAAGAGCCACCACACCTGGCCATAAAAAATATTTTCTGGACACCTACTTTGTTCAGGACATTGTACAACATTGTACAAGGTGCGTTCACGTGACATCGCATGTGGCCTTTGCAAGTTTTTGCAGGAGGTGGTATTATCCCTGCTGATAAAGTTAATTCTCAGGAAAGATTATTTGTCCAGATACTTAGTGGCAGAGCCTGAATTCCTGGACTTTCTGACTCTGCATCCCCCATACTGGTTGTGGACAGGCCAGCTGGGTAGTTGTTTGCCCTTTATGCTTCTGTTTAGAGACTAGAATGAATGATAACCAAACTAGGGGCTCATACCTCAGAGAGTCTTGTAAGGAGTAAAGAAAAATTGAGGGTTATGACTCTTTCATCTGTTTT